TTTATTTTTTTTTTTTTTTTTTTTTAAGTCTACAGCACCGGTATTCCCAGGCAGTCTCCCATCAAAGTATTAACCAAGGTCAGACCCTGCTTAGCTTCTAAGATCAGAAGAGATGGGGTACGTTCTGGGTGGTATGGCCATAGACTAAAGCTCATATGTTTAGCCATAATGACATGTTTCAACCCCACCTGAGTTCAGATTTAACATCTCTGAGCCTCAAAATGGAGATAAAAACCTCTCCTCATCAGGATTGAACAGTCTGATGCACAGAGAGAGCCTCGCACCGTGCCTGGCACACAACTGATGTTCAAAACACAGAACCATTATTACAATTCCCCGTGTCTGAAATATCCTCCTTGGGCACTCCAGCCCTCTTCCAGCTACTTCCCAGCTACAGTACGTTAGTCTAGTCCCATACCCTCCTACCTCAGTTTCTTCATCTATGAGATAGGGCGAATGAATACCTCCCTCACAGGCTTGTTATGGGAATTTGAAGGAATAGGGAAGCTCCAGTGCCTTGAACAGTGCTGGCAAGCAAGGAGTGCTCCAGACATATACACATAGATTTTGAATTGACACCTCTCCATGTTGCTAAGAGACCTGAGTATTTCTGAGCCTTCCAGATTAATTTTGCCCAGTGCTCTCTCCCCTCTTTTCCTTCCAGAGCATCCCTTCCCATCCCACATAGTCCTGTCCCCATGGTCCCATCCCCACAGCCCTTACCAGCCAGGCGCTCAGCCAGCGTAAGCGCATGCACTGAAGGCCGGTAGTCAGGGGCGTGCTGGGCCTGCTGGGCCGCCTGCTGGTGCAGGTTGTACATGGCGCTGAGTGAGTTCATGGCGTGCAGCGAGTAGCCGTTCACCCCGTAGTGCTGCATGGCGGCATCCGCCTGCAGACAGGGAAGAGGGAGAGGGGACATGAGGCAGAGCCATCAAACTCTACCCTGGGTGAGATGCCATCCCCAAGAGCTTCTGCCTCCCCATCAGAAAGTGGCCTGTCTTGCCCATGGCTTAGAGTGTGAGGGATCCTGCATATATTCCTTCATTCACCCACTCCTTCATTGATTCACTCAGCAGGACCAGTTGAACACTCTAGGCTCTAGAGTCAGACTGCCTGGGCTGGAATCTCAACTTCACCACTTAGGAGCTTTGTGGCTTTAGGCAAGTTGTTTAACTTTTCTGACCCTCAGTTTCTCCATCTACAAAATGGAGTGAATAATAGTACACATCTCATGGAGTTCTTGCGAGGATTAAGAAAAGCCTTTACAATAGCTCATGGCACACAGTATGTGCTCAAAAATGTTAGTCACTGTGATTTACCAATCCGTTTGCTGCTGTGTGCAGTCATCTCTTCATTCAATTACTCAGACAATTGCTCATTTGTACATTCATTGATTCACTCACACATTATTTATTCAACAAACACCCATTGAGGCCCACCTGGAACCAAGTCCAGAGCTGGATTCCTCTTTGATGCATTAGCTCTGATGAGATAGTGGATTAAAGTCCTAATGTCCTGGGGTGGCCCGGTGGCGCACTGCTACAGTGCGCCACTTGGGAAGCGCGGCGGCGCTCCCGCCCGAGGGTTCGGATCCCACATACAGACCGGCCGCTCACTGGCTGAGCGAGGTGTGGGAGCAACACCGAGGGTTGTGATCCCGTGGCCGGTCCCGGTCCGGTACGGGCGCGACACTGAGGGTTGCGATCCGTTGCCGGTCACGAAAAAAGACAAAAAGGAAAAAAAAAAAAAGGTGGAGTGGAAAGTCCTAATGTCCTGCATGCACATGAGAATACAATTGTGATGACTGTCATACATTCACTACCATTACTTCCCTCTATTCTCACTATATCTCCAAGAGGCTAGCAGGCCAAGAACGATGAACCCTATTTGCAGATCAATCTACTGAGGCTTGGAGAAAGAACAGTGACATATTGAGGCCACACAACGAATCCAGGGTCTTCCCTTAACCCACATTGCTGCAGCCTCATTCTTTCATGGCCAATTGCTCCAAGGAGATCATTCATTCATCAGAGAACACATTCCTCCTACTAAGATGGCACGGATCAACATGAGGCTGCCAAGGTCTCATCAGCCTCAGGTCCCCTCCATCCTCGCGGTCCTCATCTGAGCACCCCCTCTGCATCAACCTGAAATATCATTTTTGGAATGGGACCCCATGTCTGCAGTCTCCCAAAGATACAAAGGTGTTTCCTATTTTCCAGGAATGGGAGGTAGAAGGGGAAGGCTGGGGCACTAGCAGGCCCATTTGATAAGAGCAAGAACGTGTCCAGGTGTCTCAGCTCTCCAGCCTCACTGAAAGAGACACAGGCTATACATAACCAGACATCCACAGCATGCACACAAACACACATAGTCACAGATAAGCACACACATGTGTCATGCAAAACACACATACGCAGACATTCTCAGCAAGGCATTCACAGAAGCTGTCCTTTTCACACACACAGATTAACATCATTATTCCCATGGTTCCACACACAGACATTCCAACAGTTATCTATTCATGCAGCGAATGCATCTACACACAAACATTACCCACCTGCACATTCATATATTATGCATATTTATTCAATAAATATTTAAGCACCCACCCACTAAGTATCAAAGTCTCTAACTTCATGGAACTTATATTCCCAGATAGGAGGAATATATAACAACAAATGAAAATATATGTAATAACATCAGACAGGAATAAGTGCTCTGTCTGAAGAAAAATAATACAGGGGAGGGGGATGACAAGCAGGAGAGATTATTTTTGAACATGTCATCAGGAAAGGGCTCTCTGATATTTGAGCAGAAGCTTGAAGCAAGCCATATGAAGCTCTGGGGGAAAGGCTTTCCAAGCAGAGGAACAGCAAGGACAAAGGACCTGAGGCATCGACAAGCTTGGGATGTGTGTGGAACAACAAGAAAACCAGGGTAGCTAGAGCACAGGGAGAAAGCAAGCCAGTGGAGGAGGTGAGGTTGGAGAGGAGGGGACCAGTTGCCAAAGGGCATCAGGGCCCATTGAAAGGAGTTTGGATTTTATCCCGAGTGTAATGGGAAGCCCCTGGAGAGCCTTGAACAGGGGAATAACATGACATGATTTGTTTTTAAAAGCTCGCTTTGGCTGCTGAACAGAGAATAAATAGAATGCAGAGGGGCAAGAAGAAAAGTGGAGAGACCAGGGCACGGCAGAAGTCCAGGCTAGCCACCACGCCACCTTGGTTAGGGTGGTAGGAGGTGGTGAGAAGTGGTCAGATTCTGGACACAGTTTGAAGATAGAATCGGCATGATTGCTGACAGGTTAGTTATAAAATGTGAGGGAGAGAGGGCAAAAAAGGATAACTCAAGTTTTTGGCCTGAGCAACTGAGTAAAGATGGGCCTTTTCCTGAATCAGGAGCATTGGGGGAGAAGCAGGTCTGGGGAGGGAGGAAAGAGAAATCAAGGTTTTGCAGAAACATGGCAAATGTGAAATATGAATCCAACTCCAAGTAAGAATGTTGAATCCGTAGTTGGATAGAGGAGTGTGGGGCTGAGGGCAAGATTTGCGGATTTCTGAGTCAACGCTCACACATTAACACCTTCCAACAACATCCGCTTACAGAAGCCCACACTATGCATCATAAACATGATCCAAAAGGCAGAAATCCGAGGGAAAAGAATGATAGACATGGTGATATAAAGTGTTCAAACGTCAGTGTAACAGAATACACCATAAACAAAGCTAAAAGGCAAACAACAAACCTGGAAAAATATTTACCAAATATATGACACAGCAAAACTGATAAAAAATAAATAGGATAAACAAAAATAAAAGAGAATATCTATAATATATAAAGAGCTCTTATATAGAAATAAAAAGAGGATTATGTGAATAAAAGATGGGTTAAGTAAATGAAGAGAACTCATTAAGGAAGAAACACAAATAGCCAACTGACAGATGACAAAAAGCTCAGCCTTACTTATAAGCAAAAAAATAGAAAATAGAAACAATGAGATATCATTTCTCACCAATCAGATTAGCAAATATCAAGAAAAATGATTACCCAGGGTTATCTAGGAGAATGGGAAATGGTCCTTCTCCTACCTCGCTGATGAAAGAGCTCTTTATTTCCTGCATCAAAAGCCTTTAGAGAGTGCATCGTCTTTGACTCAACAATTCCATTTCCAGAAATTTATTCTTCAAGTATGCAGGGATATGTGTACAGGAATATTTATCATAGCACCGCTTATGATGGCAAACAATTGGAAACCTAACTGTCCATCAAGAGAGGATTAGTTCAGTAAATGAGGGGACAGTCATGCCCACAGTGGAATATGGTGCCACAGTTTAAAACAATGATGTGTATCTGTATGTGCTGATGTTCACAATATATTGTTGAGTGGAAGAAATAGGTAACAAAACAGTATGCATGATGTGATCCCATTTTGTAATGTATGTATAAATATGCATAGAAAAAAAAGTCTGGAAGGTTATACCCTGAAATGTTAACCGAGGTTATCTCTGGGAGATAGCAGATGAGATTACAGGTGATTTTCACACTGATGTTCTTTCTTTCTTCCATTATTTTGGAGGGGTGGGTGGGAGCTAGGGATGAGGACAGGATTATCCGTGTGTTCCAATGGATGTGGGGATGGAGCCAGGCTCCAAAATGTGTCATAAGCTCCATGTGGAGAAGGGGGAATACAGTTTAGAAGTAATTTTATCCATCCCCTTCCCTACCGCTGCAGCTGGAATGCCCCTCCCCCGCCAAACTCAGGGGCTTTGTGGCTTTATTGTTTTTCTTTTTCTTTGCTTTGTTGCTTTAAAACTCACCGCTGTTAATGTGGTAAGTGACATTTTAATTGACTTAATTATTGCTGATCTCACAGTTTTCGATGCACGACATGACTTTATTAACTGAAGCCAGAGAGATACCTCTCTCGGCTGCTCAATTGCCCCATCCCGATGACCTTCCAAAGGTCTCCCAGTCTGGCCCCCCTGCCCACACCTCCATTTGGCCTGAAGCCCTCTGCCTCCCCAGCACCCAGCAGTACCAGACAACCTGCCGCTCCTTCTCATCCCCTCCACACCTTCACTCCTGATGGGCCCTCTGCCCGAAACACCATTCCCTTCTTCCCCTTCAGCTGCCAAACTCCTCCCTCTCCATGAGGCCTAGCTCAACTGACACATCCTCAGAAAGGGGACCTTCCCCAGCTCACCTCTGACAAGGCATTTCTCCCCTCTCCAGTCTCAGGAAAGTACTGTCAGGTCATGGAATTGACAACGACAAAAACAATAACAATAACCACAGCTATCATTTACTGAACACTCTCTCTGTGCCAGACACCACACTAAGCACCTTATATGGGTTTTCTTAATGCTAGTGCCTGGGTCAGAGCCGTGATGGCACTTCTATAGTTCACCCACTAGACCAAGCTCCTTGAGGGCAGAAACTATCCCATGCATTTCTGGACACCCTACTCCCAGCCCAGATCACAGGTTCTGGCACAGAGGCAGGGGTCAAGAGATGAAGATCATTCAAATGAATGAATTAATAATAACAACTATTTAAGTGCTTCTGTTACCTCAGACTTCTCCATCAATTCTCCCAATGCCATTGGAGGTAGGGGCTGTTATCCCCATTTTACAGATGTGGAAATGGAAGGTGAGAAAGATTAGATAATTTGCTAAAGCCCACACAACTGGGAAGTGGTGGAACAGGTTTCCATAGGTGAAGTTCTTCCCACCAGCTAGTGTTTCCCAGCTCCAGTCATGCAGGATCTATGCAGAACAGCATATTCTGTTCCCTGACTTCTTTCATCTCTGAGTTAATCCAAAGCAATAGGAAGACAGCAAACAAAAAGCACATTCGCCCTGGCGTGCATGCTCA